AGAATCTTTGTCTTCTTGATATTGAGCCTCAATCCATATTGAAGGCTGCAGTCCTCGACCCTTCAGGTTCTCCTCAGTTTTAGCAAGCAAAGTTGTGCTATCTTATAATATATTCTCCCCATATATATAAACACACCTACCAGTTTCCTTTGTATTTTTCCAACAATGTTTACAAATATAAATATATATATTACTACAAGTACAAATATAAATAAGTTTTAATGCTATTTTTAAAATTTTTTGCAATGTATAAATGCATGCATCATATACATACATATGGGCACAGACTTTAGGACATAAACCATTTTAAATAATTACACTGTCAAAACAGTTCCTGCCATAAATTCTAGAGTCCTAGAATTGAACACCATCTAAAGAAGAGTGATAAGCAAAAAAATAGGCTCATATCCCCATCCTCTCAAATATCTAATGGAGAATGACATCTTCATTTGTTTTCATGTATTACAGATATTTTTGGCAAAAAAACCACAGTGTTCCTGCACCTATATTGTATTCTATTTCCTCACATTGGCCCTCTCTTCCATCAAAGTTGGATGCTGCATATGAGGCTCATGCCAAGGATACTGTCTTTGTATTCAAAGGTGAATATTTTGCAAGAATTTTCAAGTTATTTAAATATTGTTGAAAAAATTTCATCAGGACATGAATTTTTTTTGATAGTGTTAAGTGTTTCCTATTTTTTGTGTGACTTTAAAAATTTTTTAATTTATATTTTAAGGAAAGTTTTCAGAAAACTTGAATTTCCATTTATTCATTGTTGCACATTTTCCTCCTCCCACTCAGTTCATTTTCTCTTTAAAAAGATTCTTTCACTGTTGCAAAATTTCCCCCTTCCTATTTCCTACCCTGCCCCCCAGTCCACTTTTCTATGGGCCTCTTATTCTGGGTTTTTGTCATGAAAATAATACCTAATCATACATTTCTTTTAAGACAGTTCTTTTCATTTTCTATTTAAATGCAGTGCTCATTTTTTTTTATCCCCGCTTTTCTTAGTGTTCCTCCAAATTCCATGCCAGTCATGTTTTATAACAGTGGCATTATGCAGTATTTGTCCTTTAGTGACTGAAATATTTCTCTCGGCATAATGTCCTCCAGGGTCACCCACTTTGTATAATATTTTATGAGTTCCTTGTTTTTCAGTGTGTGTAGTATTCGCCTGTGTGAATATAGAACAGTTTCACTATCAATTCATTTGTTGGTGTGCACTGGGGTTGTTTTCAGCTCTTTTCTATTTTCAACACAGCAATTGCACATTGGTGAGCATATATCAGTTTGGATGGCAATTCTGGTTTCTTTAGGGTTTATTCCCAATAGTGGAATGGCTGGGTCAAATGGTATTTCTATTTCCAACTTTTTGAGAAAGCACCATACTGCCTTCCAGACTGGTTTCACTATTTTACACTCCCACCAACAGTGACTAATGGCTCCAAAACCTCAACATCATTTGTTGTTTGCTACTCTGTTGAACTTTGCTATTGTAACTGGGGTGAGATGATATCACATAGTTGTTTTGATTTGCATCTCTTAGAGCTAGGGAATTTGAACATTTCTTCATGTGCTTGTTCACCATATTAACAAATAACCTAGTGCTACTTTTGTTATTATTCTTATGTCCCATCGATTTACCTGCAACTCATAGTGACCATATGTACAGCAGCTCTGAAGCCTGCCCTGTCCTGATCCAGTCTCACTGACTCCCACACTCCTAACCCATTTCCCTAGTTACTTTATCAATTCATCTCTTCTGTGATTTTCCTTTCCTACACTATGCATCCACTGTTCCAAGTATGATGTCCTTGTGAGATGGAGCTTCAAAGTCCTAGCTTCCAAGAAGAAACTTGGTCTTACCATCCCTAAGACAGACCTCTTTGTTTTCTTGGTGGTCCACGGTATGTTCAAGGTTCTTCTCCAACACCACAATTCAAAGGCATTGATTCTTCATCTATCATCTTTAGTCATTTTTATCTCTGATGCATAGCAAATGATTATGATGACCATGGACTGGATAAGCACACCTTGATCCAAATTCGTGTTACTTCTCAACACTCTGAAAGGTCCCTGAGAACACATTTACCTAATGCAATTCTTCTTTTTGTTTCTTTTTAAAAATTTTTATTAATTTTATTGAACATTTACAGATTTCCATTCATTCATTGTTGTATATTTCTCCCTACTCACCCCCCACCCCTGTTTGCTCTTCTCTTTGAAAAGTAAAAGAAAAATTCCTTCATTGGTGCTAGTGCTAAGAGCGTTGATTGTGGAGTTGAGCAAGCTGTAACTGTTAACAACTTCAATCTCTTCTCTATCTATATGGTACTGCCAATTGGTCCAGTGGTGAGAATCTTTGTTTTCTAGATGTGGAACTTCAATATTTATTGAAGACTACAGTCCTTGACTTCTGCAGCAAACCCTTCAGGTTCTCCTCAGTTTTAGCAAGCAAAGTTGTGCCATCTGGATAACATAGGCTATTGAGTCTTGCTGCAATCCTGATGACACATTCCTCCTTATAAAGCTCAATGCTGATGAAGGAGGAAGTTCAGTTTGCTCTGAAGGACTTGGCCAAAAATAAAGTCTCAGGAATTTATGTAATACCTATTGACATATTTTAACAGATGCTGTCTTTGACTTGCACACCACATTGTGCCAAAAAATCTAGAGGACAACTACCTGACCAACTGCCTGGAAGAAATCTATATTTAGTCCAATTCTGAAAAAAAGGTGACCCAACAGAGTATGGCAATTATCACACACTATCACTCATATAACCCACAAGCAAGATCCTGCTGACGATTATCCAGAAATTACTAAGACAGTACACTGACAGAGAAATACCAGAAATACGAACAGGATTTAAAAGAGGCTGTAGCACTCGAGACATTATTGCTATGTTAAATGGATCTTGGAAGAAAGCAACAAGTCCCAGAGGGCTATCTATTTATGTTTCATTGACTATGCAAAGACGTTTGACATGTTGATGACAACTAATTGCAGTTAACCTTGAAGAGAATGGGAATCTCAGAACACCTAACTGTGCTTATGTGAAACCTCTAGTTGAACCAGGAAGCAGTCTTCAGAACAGAGCAAGGACACACTGCATGGTTCTAAATCAAGAAGAGAGTGCTTCAGGCATGTATCCTGTCCCTCAATAGTGCTACGACACAAATTAAATATCTACATAGAACATTAGAATGCTTTATTTAAAAATATTCGTGAGACCTAAACAACAGAAGGGAAAGTATACTAATAGGTAAAAAAGCTCAATATTTTTAAAAGAATTGTCATTTATCTATAGTTACAAGGAAATTCCACTGAAAATCCTAAAAGGTTTTGCTTGGAACTTGGAAAATGCTTCTGGTTTTTTTCCCCCTGAAAGAACTATGAAAAACACACTTTGCTACATTTCAGAGTTCTTGTGGTCCACTGGGTAACAAGCTGTGTTGCATATTAATGAAGTTTATCTTTGAAGATTGTATATCAAAACATTATTAAGCTTTTGCTGTTGTTGTGTGCCATTGAGCCAGAACTGACCTATAGCTGACCTTCAAGTCAGTTTTCAAATATAGTTAACTGCAAGGGAGGAGCTTACTATCCTTCTTTGTAGAGCAGCTGGTGGGTTCGAACTGAGTGTTTTTAAAGGTTTTTATCAGATAGTTGTGACAAATGGTATCACAGCAGTAAAAACAACACTGTTGCCATGGAGTTGATTCATCCTCATAGTGACCCCGCATGATAGAGAAGAACTGCCATTTTGGCAGAAGCAAATTGACAACTCTTTCTCTTAAGAAAGTACTGAAGGATTTGAGTCATAAATCTTCCAGTTAGGACCTCAATACTTTAATAATTGTGCCACCAGAGCTGCTCAATATTAGAGCAGGGATAATTAAATTGACTCATATTAACATCTCTGTAATAAAATATTTTGTAATTGGCTCTATGAGGAGAAATGTACCATCAGGATTGGAGGTAGACTCATCAACATTCTGCATTATGAAGATGACAAAGCCCTGCTTTCTGAAACTGAGGAGAACCTGAAGTGCTTGCTTCAGAAGGTCCAGGACTACAGCCTTCACTATGGTCTGAAGCTCAATATCAAGACAA